TTTCTTTCTTTCTTTCTTTCTTTCTTTCTTTCTTTCTTTCTTTCTTTTTTTTTGGTTTTTCCAGACAGGGTTTCTCTGTGAAGTCCTGGCTGTCCTGGAACTCACTCTGTAGACCAGGCTGGCCTTGAACTCAGAAATCCGCCTGCCTCTGCCTCCCAAGTGCTGGGATTAAAGGCGTGTGCCACCACTGCCTGGCAACATTTTCCTTAAAATACACACACACACACACACACACACACACACACACAGACAGATATATTTTTTCTGGTCATAATCCTAGCACTTGGGGGGCAGAAGCAGATAGATCTCTGTGAGTCAAAAGCTAACCCAGCCTGCATAGTGAGCTCCAGGTCAGTTAGATCTACATAATAAACAAAGAAACAAATAAACCAAAACCAATATTTTATTCTATTATTAGTGCCTGCCTATATATGGCCGGGCACACGCATGCCACAGCGTGCATGCGGAGGTCAGAGCAGAACTCTGCGGAGTCATTATTTTCCCTCCGCCTTTGGGTGGGATCTGGAGATCAAACAGTTCGCCAGACTTACTAGACAAGTGCCTTTACCTTTTCCCCCCCCTCTTTCTTTCTTCTCCTGTCCCTCTCAACTCTTTGACAGGGTCTCATGTAACCCAAGCAGGTTTAGAACTCACTGTGTAGCTAGCTAGCTGCCCACAAATGCCTGATCCTCTCACCTCCACTTCTGGAGTGCTGGGCTTATAAAGATGGCTACGACGATCATTCCTTACCCATAAATAGACTTTTATGACGTTTGCCATGTGCTGCTCCATTACATAAGTAATTGTACCATGTTCCAAATGTTCCCTCCCGCTAGACATTGTGTTGTTTCCAGTGCTCCGAGGTAAGTATAAATGACGTCATCACTGGAACTTTAACGCAAAGGCAGGGCTCTGGAGGTCCCAACAGGATGCTCCGCCTCCTGTCCCAATATGCTAATTGAAGAGAAGAATAATGATGGACGGCAGAGAGGAAATTAAATCCACGTGACCACATTATGGAGAACTTCAGTAGCCCTATGTCTGTCTTCAGGGTGCTTAACATGAACCTTAATTTTTTTTCTTTTTAGATTTATTATTATTTTTTGAGTGTACGAATGTCTTGCCTACATGGATGTGGAGAATATGCATATCTGGTGCCTGAGAAGGTCAGAAGAGGCATCGCATCCCCTGGAACTGTTAGGGCGTGGTTGTGAGCCACTGAGTGGATGCTGGGAATGAAACCCAGATCCTCTGCAGGAACAAATGCTCTCAACTGCTGAGCCGTCTCTTATATGAGCTTCAGTTAGGATAACTGGAGTGGGGGTGGGGGGTGGAGGGGTTAGGGGGTGGTGGGGTGGTGGAATAGGGGTGGGGCGGGGGCAGGGGTGGGAGTGGTGGGTGGAGAGCAAAACTGTGCCTAATTAAATAGTCCATCCTGAGGGGTGGCTTAAGTGTTGTCTCAGTTCAGGTTCTATCAGGGGGATTGGAAAGGATGAAGGATGTTAACAACTGCCATCACCGGTGGGGACCAATCTGAAGGTCTGATCACGGGTGTAGTCTAGACAAGTAGACAACTGCATTCTTTCAGAGTGGGTTGGGTGGGCACAGGGAAAGATACTGTCATTGGAAGCTTTGTTCTGGAACCCAAGGTGACCGGAACAAAACCATTTAGGAAAACAACTTATTTTGGTCTCTGCAGCTTTGAAGAAAGGTGAGACGGGATAAGGTAGGTAGACAGACACTCCTTTCGTGATTGACATATCTCTGCAGAGCCAATCAAACATGGAATGGAGGCAGATATGCTAGGCATTTGTTTTGCTTTTAGTTCTCTAAAAAGTGGGCCAAAGTGAGAAGTCAGTACCCGTAGTGGGCAGTTTTGACTGCCCGATTTGTGCCCCTGGCTAGTCGCATGCGCGCACCCACCCAGGAGCTATCTTGGATCGTCAAATAGAAAACACACACACACACCAGTTATTCTTAAAATGCGTTGGTTAACTCAATGGTTGGGCACTCCTAAAACTTCCCCTGCAGCCCCAGGCCCAGTTGGGGAAGTGGCTAGAAATCTCACGTGGCTGGTTAGCTTCTCTTTTCCAGGCCCCGATTCTCACTCGGCCTACCTCGGCAAATCTCAGTATCCCGCCTCATGCTCAGTCATTGGCTACTCGCAACTTTATTGACAGATCAAAAACCAATTGAGGGCAAGGACTTTCAGTAAACACAGATTCCTGATTAAATTAAATCAAAGCATCAGAAGCCTCTACAAATACTTTTATCTTTTTATTTTTTGCAAAAGCAGTTTGTAAATGCCCATAATGATGTGACATCAGTTACACACATGTGATGGTTTGTATATGCTCCGCCCAGGGAGTGGCACTATTAGTAGGTGTGGCCCTGTTGGAGTGGGTGTGGCCTTGTTGGAGTAGGTGTGTCACTGTGGGTGTGGGCTTTAAGACCCTCATCCTAGCTGCCTGGAAGCCAGGATTCTGCTAGCAGCCTTCAGATGAAGATGTAGAACTCTCTCATCTCTGTCTGCACTATGCCTGCCTGGATGCTGCCATGCTCCCACCTTGCTGATAATGGACTGAACCTCTGAACCTGTGTAAGCCAGTCCCAGTTAAATGTTGTCCTTTATAAGACTTGCCTTGGTCATGCTGTCTGTCCACAGCAGAAAAACACTAAGACGATACACATCCTGAGGATAACCTTTCCTTTAAAGCCTTATCATTATTATTCTTTATTATGTGTATGTCTTCATGGGAGTGAGGACAGGTACGTGTGGATTCATATGTGAAATTGTTTTTAGAAATGTAAAACAAGCAAGTAAACATGGCCAACACATGCCTACCTGCTAGGAAGGCAGAGGCAGGGGAGTCATCTGTGGCCAGGACTAGCCTGGTCTACAGGCTAGTCTTATGGTATTCTGAAACAAGCTAGAGTCATTTTGGGAGCAGGGACCTCGTCTGTAACAATGCTCCCACTAGATTGTCTTGTGGCACATTTTCTTGATTGATAATTGATGTTAGATAGTCCAGCTCACTGTGGACAATGTCACGGGTGAAGCTTTCCTGTCACATATAGAAGACATCCTGGTCTTTCCCCCTCTTATGTCTTCCTTGAGTACAAGGGCAGCCTGGTCTACGTAAGGACTACATATAGAGATTCTGTCCCCAAACAAAATCTTTTATTTATTTATTTATTTATTTTACATTTATTTATTGTGGGAAGCACAGATGCCACAGCAGAGGGGTCAGAGGACAAGTTGTTGGGAGTCCTCTTCTATCATGTGTGCCTCCAGGTTGGAACGAAATCAGGCTTGGCAGCAAGTGCTTTTATTTACGTGCTGAACCATCTCACTGAATTTCTTAAAAATAAAATAATTTGTTTTACTTTATTTTGAGACAGGGTCTCATGAAGTTCAAGCTAACCTAGGATTTGGGGAACTTCTGATCCTCCCGCTGCTGCTTCCCTCCTGTTAGGATTGCAGTCATGCGCATGCGTTACCATGACTGGCTCATTGCTATTTTTAGGTTGATACAACTTTCTGAGACATAGGAATTGCAGTAAAGAAAACTAGGCTCCAAACTTCCCCTTTTGGAATTTGGCTTCTGGGCCAAACTTCAAAACAATAACGACAGTAGTTTGATTTGTAGCTGAAGCTGCTGGGTCTGGAGGCCGACAGCTAGGCTCCTGCAGAACTCTTACTACCCTTTAAGAGCGGTGATGCCCAGGGGACATGCCTCAGCCCGGGAGAGCCAGTTTCTGCCCCTTAAGGATGTGAGGATTCCACGAGCCGTGCTCTTGGGTCTTGTTGGAACCTTAGGGAACATCCCTTAGAGTTTAGGTAACTCGATCTTCGCCTCAACAAAATGGGGACGGTAGTCGTAACGCCCCTACAAAATCAGGAAGGCTTTCGAAGACTCAGTTCCGGGTATGGAGGGAGAAAGCTGGCCTGGGGGTTGGGGGGGGAAGGAGCCCCACCCCTACCCACCACGTGGAGTGCCCTCCTTGCCCGCAGTGAGGCCTCAGGGCTATTCCCAAGATCCGGGCGTGGCGGAGGCGGGGCAGGGGCTGGGGCCACACTAGTTGAACCGACAGCCAATGCCGCCCAGAGTCTAGGCTCTCTGAGAGGCGCCGCCTGGCTTTCTTGTCCCTCAGCTCCCGGGCCAGCCGGAGGGGAAAGAGGACAGCCAGGGGCCGGGCATGGAGGCGTGGCCTCCGGCTTTTTTTTTTTTTTTTTTTTTTTTTGTCCGCCCAGAGAAGGAAAGGGTCCCCTGCGCCTTTAAGAGGTAGAGGCGGGCATCCGATTGGCTAAGACGGGCTGTGACATCACGAGGAGGCCGGCGCCCTCCCCCTCAGGCCGCGCGTTCCCGGGCAGTCTGCGCGAGGGCCGGGCCCGGCCGGCGGCCCCTCAGTTCCCCGTGCTTCTTTGCTCTACGTCGTCCCGGCTCCCGGGGGATGCCCCGGACCAGGTTCTCCTCATGGCTGCTGACGTTTTCATGTGTTCGCCGCGTCGGCCCCGTAGTCGGGGCCGTTCGGTGCTGCTCAAGCCTCAGGTGCCCGAGGACGACGACGACTCGGACACAGACGAGCCGTCTCCGCCGCCCCCCTCCGGTGTGGCCACTTCATCCCGGGCCCACGCGAGCGCCGCGCCGCTGCAGCCTCGGGCCGGGCCGGGCCGCGAGGAACCTCCTCGCCGTCAGCAGATCATCCACAGCGGCCACTTCATGGTGTCCTCTCCGCACCGCGAGCACCCGCCCAAGAAGGGCTATGATTTCGACACGGTCAACAAGCAGACGTGCCAGACCTATAGCTTCGGCAAGACCAGCTCCTGCCACTTGTCCATCGATGCTTCGCTCACCAAGCTCTTCGAGTGCATGACCCTGGCCTACAGGTAAGGGACCCGGTGACGCCCCCGCCCCACTCCCGGACCTGGCCGAGCCCCATCTTCACTACAGTCTCTCTTTAACAAAAAACATCTTAGCCATTTGGCTTCACGCTGTGCCTTTGAGGGTTGCTTCTGGGAGGATTTGTGAGTCTGGGGTCTCCACCGTTGAGAGAGGCGCCAGGGTTCCGGCCTGTAGCCCTGTCAGCCGTTCCTGGGTTCTTCCGGCTTCGTGTTCCCCATCCAGGCCCTCCCCTTCTCCAGTGCCAGTGGTCGCCGGTTTTGGACAAGAGTTAGGTGTAGCTACAGGCTGCGTGTTGTTGTTGGTGTTTTTTTTTTTCTTTTTGTATTTTTGGCTCTGTGTACCCCTTCTCTCTACTGCTTTGTGTATTTCCAGCAACACCCAACGGTTAAGATCACCTGTCCAGGGTGGTTAGGGCGCTGGCTGCATTATCTTAATGATTGTGTAACACCTTGGAGCCTGTTTCCTTGTCTATAAAGGGGTGTGTGTGTGACAGTAGTATTGACCTCCAGGGGGCTGCCCCAGGGAAGGATTGAAATAGGTGGAGTGTTTACTCAGCTCTCCTTAAATGTTAGATACTTTTCCTGATTGTCCAGGCATTTGGAGCCCGGGTTCGCTTACATCTCGTTTTCCAGGGAAGTTCTGAGGCAAGACCCTTGATGCACATAGGACGACTTGTGGAGTCTATTTTCCTGGGAAATTGGAATTTGTTTTTGTTTTGTTTTGTTTCCTTTTGACCCAGGATCTTATGTTGCCCAGGCTCCTCTCAAACTTGCTTTTGTAGCAGATGCTGGCTGGCCTTGAACTCCTCCTGACTGCCCTGCTTCCACTTCCCAAGTTCTGTGGTCACAAACATATGCCTCTCATGCCCGGGTCTGGTTAGAGAATTTTCTGGCTGGCCCTAAAATGTATGCGTGAGATGTCAGCTTGTAGGGCTGACATTCCAGACACTGTCCTGAAATGGGGATTCAGCTTTGGACAGAGATCTCTTTTCAAAGTCTCAGAGATGGTTTTCTGGGGGTGAGGGATGTTAACCTTTCTTTCTACCCTCTCTTCCCCAGTGTGTCTGCTAGGCATGCATTTTAGGCAGGTTTTCTGCCTCGGCCAGAGACCTTCTCTGAACTGATAGCGGTTAGAATAGTCCAGCTGGGTAGTAACTTCAAGCAGGAACCTTGCTGACTGGGCTTTTGGCTTTAGTAACTATACTGGTTTTGGCTTTGTGATTCCTGCGCAGCTGGCAGCATAGAAAAAGTTTCCCAGGTGACTGCAGTGACACCATGGAAAGAAGAGTAGGAATAGTCCTAGTTTTTTTAGTGTTACCTCGATACCTATATATCCAGGAACTCACTGTATAACCTAGACTGACCTCCCTCAACTTTGCAGTAGTCCTCCTGCTTTAGCTTTTCTTTTTTTCTTTTTTTTTTTTTTTAAAGAATTATTTATTTATTTCATGTGTATGAGTACACCATTGCTCTCTTCAGACACACTAGAAGAGGGCATCAGACCTCATTACAGATGGTTGTGAGCCACCATGTGGTTGCTGGGAATTGAACTCAGGACCTCTGAAAGAGCAGAGTAGTCAGTGCTCTTAATCACTGAGCCATCTCTCCAGCTCCCCTGCTTTAGCTTTTCAAGGGTTGGGATTCCAGGTGCTGCCATGGCCAGCCCTGTTTTGATTTTGCTTTTAATTAATTTTGAAAGTTAGCCTGCAAAATAATAGGTTTTAGCATGCTACTTTCATTCATAAGTATCCTACTTTATGGTTATTGTTTTGTTTTTTTTGAGACTGATCATGCTGTTATCCAGGAGGCTGGTCTTATATTCATGGTTTCAAGCAACCCTTCTGCCCCCTCCCCCCTCTCTCAGGGAGGTGGATAATAAGCCCTGGTAATCCAAATTAAAAGCATTACTCAGTTGCCTGAAATTAAAATACTAGATAGTTGGCTCTGGATGGCATTTTCCCTCTCTGGAATAAGTGATTAGTCAACTTGTTCCTTTGTTCTGTTTCTGAAATGCACCCTCACCTCACCCCGATTTCCTCTTGTGAGGGTTTCCCTGATGGCTTATCCCCGCAGCACAGCTCTTCCTTCTGTCACCTTTACGTGGCACACTGGTCAGTCTCTGCTCTCATTCTCAGATCTTGCCAGGTTGAGCTGGCCCTGAGCTCTGGGAAGATACTCTGTTTTTAAACAAGCAGGTGACAGTGAGGCTGTGCAGTGAACAGTGCCGTGCAGCACCTTCTCAGTCTCTAACTTTGAGCACATATGTTGGAATCAGACTCTTTTAGATTACAGCACAAACTCTTCTCTGAGAAATGCTTTGCAATCAAAATCAGAGCCAAAGAACAGGAATGTGTTTTTATTAAGAGAACTTAATCCTCTTTTTTTTCTTTTAAATTTAATATAAACTTCTGCATGTATAGGGAGAGAAAGCTGCTTGAGCCATTGGAGACTTGGGCTAGAGAAGTCTCAGTTAGTAAGCTCTGCTAAAGGAAGAATAAGCCAGTCTCCCTTTGTGTTCTGTTTGGATAACCTAAAGGATCATTAAATAACACCAGCTGAATAATCCCACCATTTTGGCACCTGACCTTTTCTGGGTTCATTTTCTTACATTGCAAAATGTGTCACTAGTTTGGTACAAGAAGCTGACTTGCTCTTTGGTGTTTCCAGCCCCATGGTGTCACTTGCTTTTATTTTCGTTCCTCGTGTCTAGTCTAGTACTGTCCTAGGTTTATCACCAAAAGGTTCCTGGATGGACATCTGGTAGTAGCGTCCTATGAGGATGCTCTTTGTGGCCTTTGCTGAGTTTAATCGGCAGTGTGGACATTGGGTACAGATTAACTGAGAAGCTAGAGACAGTTGGGCTTCTGAATCCAGCTTACCTGTCATGGCCACCAGCTGCTTTCAGAGGAGAAAACTCCAAGCTGGGGGAGGAAAGCAGATCTGGTTCAGAAGCCGCTTTAGCTTGCCCTTGCGTGGAGTCAGAACCTTTACTTCTTTTCCAGGTTTCTCCTGCTAGGGCTGGGAGGAGGGCCAGCTGGGTCTTCTATGTGACTGTTTTTGGCCTAGGTTCGTTCTACAGCTTCCAGTCTGTTCCATGGGCTCTTCGTTCTACGGCCTAACTCCCTGGTACACTCTGTGCTTTTTTTTTGTCTTGTTTTGTTATGTTTTGCTTTGGTTTCCTGTTAACTGCTGCCTTCCAGCTGTTTCCAGATGAGGCTCAAGAGCTTTTTGGGGGAGGAACCAAGTATAGGGGAAGTTGTGGTTATTTATCACCCGATCCTGAGAGGTGGCCTAGGGATCACATGCCAAGCAAAGACTTTCTTTTTCCTTTTTGGAGATGGATTTTGTATTGTCGGTCAGGCTGGCCTGAAACTCATTGAAAATCCTGCTTCAGCCTCTGTAGTACTAGGATTTTAGAGGTGGCTGGATCATCAAATCAGGTTCTGGCAATGTAGTAGGTTTTGGGACACTAGGGACTGTGAATATGTCTGTTGGAATTCCAGTTTCCCCATGACTGGCTTTCTAAAAAACCCATGTCCTTCCCACTCTGCTAAGTAGCCTTGGGGGAAGCATCTTGATTTGGTTTAAAAACATGTGCTCAATTTCTGGGACACCCTGGAGGAAAAGAAATTCTTTTCAAGGCAAACTTGTGTGACAGGTGACAGGGGAGAGCAGCCTGGCATCCCTTTCCTAAGCCATTCTGTCAGGACTCTAGAATGAAGTGGATAAAACGTCCCTGCGGGGTGGAAATTCAGATTAACTGTGATAATGTCTGTGACTGGCTTAGACCTGGCAAATTACAGGCAAAAGGAGGTTTATAAAGTTGAGTGTAAAGGGTGGACAACATAAAATCTTAACTTTCTCCCCAGTCAACTGATGGTTAAGCTAGGCTGGTGGTGTATACCAGGAATCACAACACATGGAAGGCTAAGGTAGGAACTTCATGAGTTCAAAGCTAGCCTGGGCTGTCCAGGATAATGCTGTTTACAAACAAACAAACAACAAAACCCAAGCATCTATCAAGACTATAGTTTCTCATCTATAAACTGAAGAAAACAGGTGTCTAATGGGAGTCTCTCACTGATGCTTTCGAATGCCTGCCTGACAAATGCTACATAGAAGCGTTCTTGATTTGGCTGGCTCTGTTCAAGGCCTCTGTAGTGGAGCTGTACGCTTTAGAACATAGTTCACAGTTCTTGCCCTTTTAACATTTTAAGGAATGTCATGCATGTACACCCCCCCCCCCCCATATAGATTCTGGACTCATCTAGTGCGCAGCTTTTGTGGTTGGTTTTAGTTTCACTTCTCTTGTTAACATCTTTTGGTATATATCAGAGGGTAGCAAGTGGTCTTCTGAAAAAAAACTACTACATTTATTTATTTTGTGTGAGTATACATTGAGATATGAGGACAACTTGTAAGTTTTCTCATTTTACTGGGTACATAACAGAAATCAAAGATTGTCAGGCTTGGGAGTTTTTATCTGCAAAGCCATTTTGCTGGACCTAGAAATGGTCTCTTTTGATTTCAGGCATAAGAAATAATTTTTTGGCAACTGGCTGTTTAAGTGGTATTTGAAGAGACATTTTTCTTTTTTCTTTTAAATTTTATTTTAGTCATATGAGTGCTTTGTCTGCATATATCTCTGTGTACCACATGGATGCCCAGTGCCTGAGGAAGTGGTAAGCTTCCATATGGGTGCTAGGAATTGAACTCAGGTCCTTCTCAAGAACAAGTGCTCTTAACCACTGAGCCAACTCTCCAACCCCAACATTTTTCTTTTAAACATTTATTTATTTATTTATTTATTTATTTATTGTGTGTGTGTGCTATGTGTGTATGTGTGTGTGTGCTATGTGTGTATGTGTGTGTGCATAGGTAGATAACAACCTCTCAAGAGCTGTGCCCTCTCTGTCTATCACATTGTCAAGGTTGATGACAAGTACCATTTTAACCCTCAGCTGTCTTGCCAGCCCTTGAGATGT